TGCACTAGACCAAGCAGGAGTCAGAATGTGGTAGGCCCAAGTCCTTTAGCTGAGGCTTGGCTACACAGCTTATGGGCACCACCCAATGTATTACAGAAGAATGATGCTTGAGCTCAGCTTCAAAGGTAGGTAGAATTTCCATAGGCAAAGATAAGAGGAAGGACATCATCAGGTAGGGAAATTTCATCTGCCTTCTGGCCATCTCCCCACACAGAGATTAATTCCGTTACCAGTAGGTTTTTTTGTTTATTTCTGTTTTCTTAGCATGAACTAGTTTAACAGACTAACCAGCTTGAAAAAAATTAGAATTCAGGGTATGCATATTATAATGAAAAAAACAAAGGATGAACATAATAGCTGGTGTCAAATATCTGAAAAATTCTCATATGAAAGATCTCTGTGTTATCTGTATTGCTCAGGAGAGCAGTGCTAGAATCAGTGAGTAAAGTGAGAAAAGGCTAATTTTCAATTCAAAATAAGGAAGAATTTCAAATAAATAGAGATGTCTAAAATTTGGATTGAGCTATCTTGCACTTCCCCATCTTCGCAAATGTGGCAATGGCAGATGAATAACCTGCATGTTGCAGCCTCTCACTAAATATTCACTGGTATGTTAATGTTGATGGTGACAGAGAGGGAAGAGGAAGTAGATGGAAGGTTGACTTGCTAAGGCTCGCCAACCAGAGACTTCTCCTTTGACCCCATTTTCTACTGCTAGGGCTTTTCCTAGTCCATCATGGTTTAACATTGACTCCTCACTCTTCCTATTTCCCTTTACTTCTGGAAAGCCTTATACTGTACCAGTACCTAGCAAGCACTCAGACATTTGTGAATGAAAATGACAGGTTTGTGTCTCTTACCCTTGGTCTGTCCTTTCCAACCTGGCTGGTCCAGGTAAGGCATCCTACCCACATTCCTAATTTCCTTCCCTACTCCTCTGGTCACTCGTTTCCTGTGTTTTTTTTTTTTGAGACAGAGTCTCACTTTGTTGTCCAAGCTAGAGTGAGTGCCGTGGCGTCAGCCTAGCTCACAGCAACCTCAAACTCCTGGGCTCAAGCAATCCTGCTGCCTCAGCCTCCCAAGTAACTGGGACTACAGGCATGTGCCACCATGCCCGGCTAATTTTTTCTATATATATATTAGTTGGCCAATTAGTTTCTTTCTATTTATAGTAGAGATGGGGTCTCACTCTTGCTCAGGCTGGTTTCGAACTCCTGACCTCGAGCAATCCACCTGCCTCAGCCTCCCAGACTGCTAGGATTACAGGCGTGAGACACCACGCCCGGTTTGTTTCCTGTGTTCTTTACAGTAGGGAAGCCCAACCTATGGTGAGTCTTATAATTATTTCATTATATATTATAATGTAATAATAATAAAAATAAAATGCACAACAAATGTAATGCGCTTGAATCCCAATACCACTCCTCCTACCCCCTTGGTCCGTGGAAAAATTATCTTCCCTGAAAATGGTCCCTGGTGCCAAAAAGGTTGGGGACCACTGCCAGGCTTATTATCCTCTAACTGGCCACGAAATGTCAATTTCTAAGGCTCAGTTCTAGGCCCTCTTTTCTTCTCATTCTATAGTGTTTGCTTAGAAGTATTCTCCTCTGGGGCCAAAGTTTCAGCTTGACACTTTCCAATTTTTTTTCTCTAGGCCTGCTTTTTTCTCTCCGAGCAAGGGACCTGTATATACAACTGCCCATTTGATATCTCCTATTGGCTGTCTTAAAGGCACTTCAACATCAACATGTTTAAAACATTAGGTCTGCCCATTCCCAGCACCTGAAACCAGGCTCTCTTCCAGTACTCCTGTCTTAGCAAAAGGCAGTGCAATTTAACCAGCTCCATAAGGCAGTAACTTACCGCCCTCTCTCAACACCTGCAAATTCAACCCAATACCACAGTAGTTCTTAAGCCTTTTACTCTTAGAACCCCTTTACACTTTAAAATCGAGGCTACTTAAAAGCTTTTATTTATGTGAGATATACATCAATTAATATTTACTGTATTAGAAATTAAAGCTCAGAAAATTTTAAGACATTTTCATAGAAGAAACTGGGGAAGGGGCATGAAAATATTTTTTTTTGAGACAGAGTTTCATTTTGTTGCCCTGAGTAGACTATGGCATCAGCCTAGCTCACAGCAACCTCAAACTCCTGGGCTCAAGCGATCCTCCTGCCTCAGCCTCCTGGGTAGCTGGGACTACAGGCACACACCACTGTGCCTGGCTAATTTTTTCTATTTTTAGTTGTTTGGCTAATTTCTTTCTATTTATAATAGATGGGGTCTCGCTCTTTCTCAGGCTGGTCTGAAACTCCTGAGCTCAAGCAGTCTTCCCGCCTTGGCCTCCTAGAGTGTTAGTATTACAGGTGTGAGCCATCACGCCTGGCCGGAGGTTAAATTTTTAAAACACAATAATACACAAGCACATTCCATTAGCTATCAGAGTGATGACATCACCTCAGGAACATGACCTCTGGAAAACTCCACTGTAAAACTTGTGAGAGAAAGTATTCATGTCTTAGCATGGTCATGAAAATAATTTTGATCTGAGAGACTCCCTGAAAGGATCTCAGGGACTCCCCAGGGTCCTCAGTCCATGCTTTGAGAACCACTGAAACACCACGTTCTGTCAGGGAAAATGTCTTAAATCCAACAGCACCTTCCTCTCTCCACCATTGTCCCCAGAATAGTCAAAGCCCTTGTTTTTTTTTTTCACCTGGACCACTGCATTAGCCTAATTTGGTTCCCTGAGAACCATTCTTGCCCCCTCCAATCTGTTCTCCACACTGCAGCCAGATAAATCTTTTCAAAATACAAATCTGGGTATGTACCACTACCTAGTCTTCATCACTTAAAAATCCTAAAAGTAGCTTTTCACTGCCTTAGATGTGAGGATCAGAATCCTCAGCAAGGCCCACAGGCTCTGCCTCCTCCCCAGCCTCACCCCTGCCATCAGGGCTTCTTTCCATTTCTCAGACATACCACACTCTGTCCTGCCATCAGGCCTCTGCACCTGTAGCATCCTCTGCCTGGAACCCTCTTTCCTGCATCCTCTTTGCCTAACTCCCAACTCCCATTCATGCTTCAGGTGATAACCTAAGGCTTTCCTGGTCCCAAGATCAGGTCCCATCTCTTAGTTATACACACTCAAAGCATCACACACCTTTCACTCACAGCTTACAATCATATATTAATCACATCATGACAAGTAAATGTCTGCCTGTCTAGGGATCGTAAGGCCCACAGGGACAGGGCCTGTGTCTTTTTTTACTTTCCATATTTCTGGCACATAGTAGATAGTTCAGTAATCATCTTTTGAATAAGTGAACAAAGATTCAGTTTGATGGGAAAGCAGTAAGATAATATAAACATTATAGCAGAGATGGGTACAAGAGGTGAACATTTTCAGTGGCTTCCCTCTGCCTACCAAAAAAGCCTGAGTGCAGTCGAGATTCCCTAGAAAGCAGCCCAGGCATCCTTTCTCGGCATTCTCTGTTCCTCCTCCAAACACATTAGCCAATTTGGACCTGAAGGATAATGAGCTCTCCACAGGCACGGTATAAAAGCCCTCTCTCCTCATTCCCTATGGAAAACCTCCATATTCAGGGTTCAGCTCAAAGAGATCCTCCCCAGAATGCATTTCCCAGGTCATTCCAAGTATTTAGAAATCATCTCTCCCATTTCGTGGCTCTATAGAAAGGCTCGCAGGCTCTGCCCGCATCCACCACACACACTCCAAAGCACCTGGGGTTCTCAGAACCCACCGAGTTCTTCTGTGACGGTGCCTGGGATATCTGTCTCTACTTGATCCTCAGTAAACCTTCCTTTGTGTGTCAGCTCTGATCTTCCCTCTTCTCTCTGGGCAGAAGTGGTTATGGTCTCCTTTCTGCTCCCATCACCCTTGCCCTTCTGCATGCTCCACTGTAGCACTCATCCCAGACTGACAGCCTGGCACATAATGCTTGCTGAAGGAAGCCATGATCTAGGTGTGCTTAAAGACTGTGTTACCCATTTTCTAAATAGGAAATACTTCAAAGAAATCTTACCCCTTGGCATTTTCAGCAAGGGAAATAATTTCCATATATGGCTCCCTACAAGGTGAAGAAAGGGTCCAAATGACCCAGTATTTAGCCCCTGCCTCCATACACAAATCAGACTCTTGCTTGGGGGTTGGAGACCAAATTACTGCCTCTTGTCAATCCTCACTGATTACTCTACAAAGAACAATGCTGTCTACTCCTGTCCCCTCAATCTCTATAAGGACTCTGGGAAAAAAGCAAAGCCGGTAGAGTTTCCCAGGCTCCAGGGCACTCAAATTCCAGATCACAAGTCTCCAGTACTTCTGGGGAAACAATGGTCAAAAATGAGCACAGCATAGACTGAGGTCTTCAAGCAGATGTTTGAAATCATTTTTTCAGGGATGTTTAAAAAGAATTTAATCAGGCCATTACATCGTTATACTTTAAGCTCTTTGAGGGTAAGGTTACCATCCTAGTTATTTTTCTACATCTCCTAACTAAAACAAAGGCATAGAGAGGATTACTTGGCACAGAGTAATAGTCAATAAATATTTGATTATTATTTAACTTTTTTTTTTTTTTTTTTGAGACAGAGTCTCGCTTTGTTGCCCAGGCTAGAATGAGTGCCGTGGCGTCAGCCTAGCTCACAGCAACCTCAAACTCCTGGCTCAAGCAATCCTCCTGCCTCAGCCTCCCAAGTAGCTGGGACTACAGGCATTCGCCACCATGCCCGGCTAATTTTTTGTATATATTAGTTGGCCAATTAATTTCTTTCTATTTATAGTAGAGACGGGGTCTCGCTCTTGCTCAGGCTGGTTTCGAACTCCTGACCTCAAGCAATCCGCCCGCCTCGGCCTCCCAGAGAGCTAGGATTACAGGCTTGAGCCACCGCGCCCGGCCTGATTATTATTTAATTAATAAATATTTGATTTTTAAAACGGGCAGATAAAATAGGGGAAAAAGGGGTGAAATACTCACTGACAGAGAGATGCCTGCTTCTGGGCTCAGGGGGCTGGTAGACGGTATTTATATCCCCTGCAGACTGGGAAGCCTTGATCCGCACCTGCCTGGACACCCCAGAGTGGGGAGAGGAACTGTTCTGTAACAGAAGAGGAAAAAGGCAGATCTTCAGCAGATCTTTAATCAGGAAGGACTATAGATGCCCCTTCCCCTTCCCCCTAGGACTCCCCAAACTCTCAGCTACTTTCATGCATTTAATACACTAGCCACCTAGCTTTCCCCCAAATCTCACTCCTCAATCTGTCTTGGAAAAACGCTATTTGTTCAATGTAGTTTTACAGCGTCAGTGATACATGAGCACTGAGACCTGGTGCCCCAATTTAAAAGGTGATGACCCAGACGTGGAGAAATAACAGGCATTCCTGTAATAACTGGTCAAACAGAAAAGAGAGCTGTAAATATCCTCTCATAAAATTCTCCAAAGAACTCAGGAAAAATAGCAGGAAATTATTTCAGTAGCAAGATCACCTGCTGGGAGGGGGTCCAACAGAGAATGATGGCAACCTCCCTGCCCAACAAAATTCTGGTTATGATATATGTATTTTAATTAATTAGCTTTCTTCTGGGGTGGGCGGAGATGAAGTCTCTATATGTTGCCCAGACTGGATTTGAACTCCTGATCCTCCCAAGTAGCTGGGACTGCAGGTGTCTGCCATCATGCCCAGCTTATATATATTTTAAAAAGTAGCTCAAAGCTGGGCACGGTGTAATCTTATAATCTCATCTACTCAGAAGGATACCTTGAGCCCAGGAATTAGGGGATGCAGCAATGAGCTATGATGATGCTACTGATTCCCAGGCAACAGAGAGAGACTTTGTCTCAAAAAATAAATAAAGATAAAATAAAAAAATAAAAAGTAGCTCTATGTTTCTTTCCCCAACCATAATCACTCCCTGAAAATTAAGGTAAGCAGACCTCAGTTGTTTCAAAGCACCAGAATTTACATGTAAATCGTCTCAGGATCAGGTTCAATTAGGACAAGCTATCACAGGCACCATTCTGTCAGATGTTAAGGACCTAAGAAGAGGGTCAGCAGCCTCACTATATCCACCCCACTTTGCACCAGCCCAGCTGAGTCACCAGGTGAGCCCTACAGAGAAAACAAAGCAACAAAAGGGGGCACTTTTGTACTAAGAAAGCTTAAACTTGAAACTTGGAGTTGAGCAAGTGATGTCATGATGTGATTACAAACAAGGCAAGCACTAATAACAGTTGGAATGGGAGCTCAGGATTTATAAACAAGTTGGGTCAAAGTTTTTACTTGCTTCTCTATCTCTGTTACCTCCTACCAAAACAAAACAAAACAAAAAAAAAACACAAAAAGTTCAACCTAAACAAACTCTATATCCTGTCCTCCAGGAAAGAGGCTTCCTACTCTTAGGGGTGAGTTCAGCTGCCAGGCAGCCTCCTCTAGTCTCCCCATGCCAAACTTTATCACATGCAGGGTTGTCTTGACAAAATGTCTTGCTCTAACAGGAAGTCAGAACCAAGGGGAAGTCAATGTTCTTGCTGAAACCTCCGATGTGCAACAGCTCTCTGCTGAGGGTCAGAAAGGAAACAACAGCCAAAGCCACACACTTGGGAGGCAGGCTAGTGAAAAGCAAGGGAAGGCCACAGTCCTACAGTCAGAAAGAGAGGAGCTGCATGATGAGCACCCTAAGGACACTTGCTTGAATGCAGGGTCTTTCACACAGTGGGAATTCAGTAAGTCTTGGCAATATGAATTTGAAATTTAACAAATAACATACAATCTAAATCCTCATTTTAAAAAATATAAAAGCTGAAGGCTGGGTGTGTGGCTCATGCCTGTTATCCTAGCACTCTGGGAGGCCAAGGTAGGAGGATCACAGAAGTGATCCCAGAAGCTGGAGGTTGCAATGACCTATGATGATGCCATGGTACTCTAGCCCAGGTGACAGAGCAAGACGAGACCCTGTCTCAAAAAAAAAAAAAAAAAAAATTTAAAAACTGGAACAAGAAAGCAAGTTCAATGACCAGCACAAGCATAATTTGTAAAAGAAAAAGTTGAAGTTGTGGCGACAGGTTGGAAAGCAGGTGAAGAGAATCATGGAGTTCTCAGAGCAGGGCTTCTCACACTTTCACATAAATATAAATCATCTGAGATCTTGTGAAAGTACAGATTTTGATTTGGTAGCTCTGGGGTGGGGCTCAGAACCTGCATCTAACAAGCTTCCAGGTGATGCTGACGCTGCTATTACATGGGCCACATTTTGAGTAGCTAGGTATACGAGCTGAGTCATAAACTGCAGGTAATGGTTTTCAACCCTAGCTGCCCATTAGAACTGCCCATGGAGCCTTTGACACCTCAGATCAACTGCACCAGAATGTCTAGGGATGGGAGCCCAAGCACTGATATTTTTTAAATCTCCCCAAGCAATTGTAATAATATTCCGCCAAGTTTTGAAAACCTCAGTTTAAGGGGACAAAGAGGAATGGCATGGTAAATAAAAATGAGGTTGTTGCAAGGATTCAGGAAACGTTGAACAAGACTCAGAAGTGGGAAAGAGAGGATGGAGGAAGATGGGACTGTACTCAAAAATAAAAGGGGACAGTTGTAGAGTGAAAGGAGTGATGTGTGTAGCTAGCAGAACAGTCTAAACACATTTGATTCTTACAACTCTGAGGGGTCCAGAATAGTATCTGCTAGCTCCCATCCACACCTGTGGAAACTTAAGAGTGACTTGCTCAGGTGAAGCACTAAATAGTGACAGGGCTGGTCTGGAATCCAGATACATATAGAAGGTGGTATCTGACTATTCCATGAAACACTCACTGAAGGACTTTGGGTAGTGGTGTGCTGTGGCTGACAAAAACAATATGAAAAATTACTAGGGAACCATGTACATGAAGATTTGCAGTGACTTCAAGACAGGAGATTAGTAGAAAAAGTCTGTCCACAAATTATCTCAATAAAAGATTTGGGCTGGGCATGGTGGCTCATGCCTGTAATCCTAGCACTCTGGGAGGCTGAGGCAGGCGGATTGCTCGAGGTCAGGAGTTCAAAACCAGCCTGAGCAAGAGCGAGACCCCGTCTCTACTATAAATAGAAAGAAATTAATTGGCCAACTAATATATATAGAAAAAATTAGCCAGGCGTGGTGGCGCATGCCTGTAGTCCCAGCTACTTGGGAGGCTGAGGCAGGAAGATCGCTTGAGCCCAGGAGATTGAAGTTGCTGTGAGCGAGGCTGACGCCACGGCACTCACTCTAGCCTGGGCAACAAAGGGAGACTCTGTCTCAAATAAAATAAAATATTTGATCATATGACATAAAAGAACAAGTGGATTCAACTATGCACGGGGTGGGAGGATGGGGGAAGTGGGGAGAGGGGTAGCTTGGAGCATGGGAACGGAAGGCAAGAAATAGCACACTGGATCACCAGTCCTCTGATTATTTATTTATTTATTTATTTTTTGACAGAGTCTCACTTTGTTGCCCGGGCTAGAGTGCCATGGCGTCAGGCTAGTTCACAGCAACCTCAAACTCCTGGGCTCAAGGGATCCTCCTGCCTCGGCCTCCTGAGTAGCTGGGACCACAGGCATGCGCCACCATGCCCGGCTAATTCTTTTTTTCTATATATTTTTAGTTGACCAATTAATTTCTTTCCATTTTTAGTAGAGACGGGGTCTTGCTCTTGCTCAGGCTAGTTTCCAACTCCTGACCTTGAGCAATCTGCCTGCCTTGGCCTCCCAGAGTGCTAGGATTACAGGTGTGAGCCACCGAGCACGGCCCAGCCTTCTGTTTTAATGGTGGTGCCAAGAGATATTTGCACAGAAGACCATGATAGTTATGATACTTATTGAAGCAACCAAGGTGATTTAATTAAATTTACAGCCTTACTATCCATGAATTTGTTAAAGACCTTTTAAAAAAAATGTTTTGAAGCTATACAACTTCAGAATAATAGATGCCATGTTTATCACCTGTTATATGAATTATTTCCTTTTTGTTCTACAATAATCTCCAATATTCAAGGAGCTCATCCAAATTAAGATTAGGTGAATAAATCTGCATTTTCATTATCCATACTCTTTTTTTTAGACAGAGTCTTGAGTTTCACTCTGTCACCGTAGCTAGGGTGCAGTGCCATCATCATAGCTCACTGCAGCCTCAAACTCCTGGGCTCAAGCAATCCTCCTGCCTCAGCCTCCTGAGTTAGCTGGGACTACAGGCATGTGCCACCACTCCTGGCTAATTTTTCTATGTTTTGTAGAGTCAGGGTCTCACTCTTGCTCAGACTGGTCTTGAACTCCTGGCCTCAAGCCATCCTCCCACCTCAGCCTCCCAGAGTGATGGGATTACAGGTGTGAGCCACTACATCCAGACTCATTATCCATACTCTTAAATGCTTTGAAGACTTTGATTATATATATGCTTAGGTTATGTTTCCTGACTAAAGAGTTCTAAGCCTTTTACACTGTCCTACATAAAAGTAACTCTAACCCCTTGTGCTTTAGGGAATAGAATGATACAATATCTCGAAAGTTTTCCTCACGGACATTACACTTTCTGTTCTGCTTTTAATGATATTAAACTGTGGAGGAACCTGGGCGAGGTTTTCCAAGGATGATATAATTCTAAGATCCCTTTCCTGGATGGTAACTGATACATACTAAACTGCAAGTCAGAACATCTAGATTTTGGACCAGCTCTGTCACTATTTACTGCCTCATCTGAGCAAGTCACTCTCAGTTCCCCTAGGGAGATGGGAGATAGCAGATGCCTGCTCTGGGCCTCTCAGAGTTATAAGAATTGAATGACAGATGAAAGTACCTTTTCATGTAAGGTGTTAGGGACCAGACAGAAGCTATTCTGCCCAACCAGTTTATTTTCCTGCACTTGTTCCATTATTTTAGGACCAAAAAGAATTACCCTTTAGATTATCCTTGATATTTTAAACTTAAATAGCAGGCAAGATAGTGCCACACTCATTGATGGGAAACTTTGGAAATAGGCAACATTTGGATGAGAAGATTAAAAGTTTACTTTTGTCAGAGAGAATCTGAGGTAACCAAACAAAGTGGCTGGGTGTTTAGTTTTTATTGTATTCAAATAAAA